TAATATTTCTAACATTATTCTAAAACTGTGTCTTATAAAGCTATTTTAATTAATTCCTAAATTTATTCTCATAAAACTGGTTGAGCTGCTTTCTGAAAGAGTTTCTTTGTTTCTCAGTCAAGGTGCACTAGTTCTCATATCTTTATAATCTTTCTCAATAGAAAGTAAGTTCTAAACATCAATCCACTTTCCACCAATATTAACTATTCTCATCATATATCCCTATGTAAAGTAAAAAAGGGTTTATAAAAAGAAAAGAATATATCTTTATATTCCTAAGTGTATAATATAACTTTCCTTAATCAAAAATGAGACTGCATGTGGTGAACTTTGTAAAATAAGCATAATGATTAGATTTTCTAAGAGGCCGGAAATATGGGCTTGGGTTCGAGTTGATATGATCAATGTGGTGCCTAAAATTCTCATGAGAGAATGATTGTTGTTCATTATCAGTTTTGTCCTCAATGTACTGAGATAGAAGAACAGCCTTCTACTTTGTCCTTGATATGCTGAGGGGTAGTAGAACAGCCTCCAAGGCATGAACTACCTGTTATGTTCTAGCCACCTGAAATTTAATTTGTTTGGCATTTAACATACTCATGCCTCCTGTCAGAAACATAAGCATGAAAATGAAAAGTCCCAATTACATAAAAAAGGGTCTCATGGTTTCGATTTCCCACCAGCCAGCGTAGCTTTGCCAGCATTCATCCTCACTGTGACCCTGTCAAGACAGTGAGTGGGGGATCGCCTTCACCATTTAATAAAGGATATTTAATAAAAACAATGTTAATTCTTATTATTTGCCATAATTAGATTATGTTTTATAAAGTAGCCATCAATAACAAATTAGGGAATGCTGATTCATTGCTGCTAGAGAAAAAACAGGATTCTTTGAGCCTCTGGAGACATTTCATCCATTGATCCATACAGAGCCTTATTTTATGTGAGTTTGATTTAAAGACATCTTTAATATATATTATTGATTCATTAACATTGAGCTAAGTGCCAACAACACTATAACTCATACCTAAGGATGCTTATCTATCCCATACATTGTTTCCATAAGGCATATCACAGTCTTCTTGTAATTGTAATACAAGACAGTATTTCAGCACTACACTGGGAAGCCATTTTAGCAGCAATATCACCTATAAAAATCACAAAAATGCAGAAACTCTGGCACTAAATACACTTCAAAAGGCTCAGTTGCTTATGGTAAAAGAAATGAAAAAAGAAAGCCAGAGCTGGGGCCTGGCTCAATGGCAAAGTACTTGCCTAGCATGTATGAGGCACTGAGTTCAATCCTTAGAACCACAAAACAAATAAAATAAAGGCATTCTGTCTATCTACAGATACAAACAGAAGAAAGAAAAAGAAAGTCATGCTGCCTTGTTCAGCCTCCAGTTAGGAACGTGCATGATAGACAACTCAAAAAAAATTTTTTTTCTGCTCTGAGAATGTTCTCAAATGACCATTAAATAGTATTTATCAAAATAAATTATCTGAAACCAACATAAATATAGTTATCTCATACTAGACAAAGGTGCCAAAAACATACATTAGAGAAAAGATAGCCTCTTCAACAAATGGTGCTGGGAGAACTGCAAATCCATATGCAATAAAATGAAAATAAACCCCTATATCTCACCCTGCACCTAAGAGAGGAAAAAGTAGGCCCAAATCTTCATCACATCAGATTAGGCCCCGACTTCCATAACAAGACTCCTAAAGCACAAGAAATAAAATCAAGAATTAATAAATGGTATGGACTCAAACTAAAAAGCTAAAGAAACAATCAAGGAGGTGAACAGAGAGCCTACATTTTGGGAGCAAATTTTTGCCACACATACATCAGTCAGATACAGTYAGATACAGGATATATAAAGAACTCAAAAAACTTAAAACCCTCAAAACAAGCAACCCAATTAATAAATAGTTATTAAGTGTCTATTAGACACTTCTCAGAAGATACATATTCCATCAACAAATATATGAAAAAATGTTCAACATCTCTAGTAATTAGAGAAATGCAAATCAAAAGTACTCTAAGGTTTCATCTCACGCCAGTCAGAATGGCAGTTATCAAGAATACAGACAACAATAAATGTTGGTATGGAGGTGGGGGAAAAGGCACACTCATACATTGTTAGTGGGATTGCAAATTGGTGCAACCAATCTGGAAAGCAGTATGGAGATTCCTTTAAAAACTTGGAAGTGCAACCACCATTTGACCCACTCCTTGGTCTATACCCAAAAGATTTAAAATCAGCTTACTATAGTAATGCAGCCTCCATCAATGTTCATAGCACCTCAATTCACAATTGGAAACTAAAACTGTGGAAGCAACCTAGATGCCCTCAGTAGATGAATGGATAMAGAAACTGTGGTATATATTCACAATGGA